CCAAAGTAATTTACAGATTCAATGCTATCCCCATCAAGCTACCAATGACCTTCTTCACAGAACTGGAAAAAACCACCTTAAACTTCATATGGAACAAAAAGAGAGCCCGCATAGCCAAGTCAATTCTGAGCAAAAAGAACAAAGCGGGAGGCATCACACTACCGGACTTCAAACTATACTACAAGGCTACAGTAGTATATGTCTGCCCAAATGGCTCCTTTAGTTTTGTGCTTAAAACCTAGGGCCCTGGTAGCATAGTCACTGGAAGGAATCTCCTAATATGCTGGTTGTGAAGACCATGGGAAAACCATAGTATCTGGAATGGAATGCACCATTCTTCCTAGTACAGTCTCTTCTGGCTTCTCTGGCTTGGGGAGAGAAATCCTTGTACTCCTTGTGCTTCCTGGGGGAGATGATTTTCCCACTTTGCTTTGGATTGCCCTTTGTGGGCTGCACCCACTCTCCAACGAGTCTCAAAGAGATGAACTACGTACCTCAGTTGAAAATGCAGAAATCACCCACCTTCTCCACTGATCTTACTGGGAACTGCAAATCGGATCTGTTCCTATTCAGCCATCCTGAAACATGAGAATTTCCCATAGATTTTTTTAAAAGAAAAAGGGAAAAATGTGAAAGGAAAATAAATCTTGGGGACCAAAATTATTGCACTAAAAAGTCAAGCTCGAAACTGGTTAGGGCAAACCTGCCTTCCATTCTATTCAGTCATCCCTGTGTTGAGATAAATTCATATCTGATTGCCTCATTTGGAAAGACCGATCAGAAAAATGAATGCAATCATTTCTCTCTGGTCTACCTATAACCTGGAAGCCTCCTCTCCACTTCAAGTTTTCCCACCCTCACCTCGAATTATCCCATCATTTCAGACTAAACCAATGTAAATCTTACACACATATTTAATTATGTCTTACGTTTCCCTAAAATGTATAAAACCAAGCTGTGCCCTTGCCACCTTGGCCACAAGTCATTTGGACCTCCTGGGGCTGTGTCACAGGTGTTCATACCCAACCTTGGCAAAGTAAACTTTCTAAATTAACTGAGACCTGTCTCAGATTTTGGGGGTTTACAAACTATACTTCAAGGTTATAGTAACCAAAACATCATAGTTCTGACACAAAAAATCATTACACGAAACCAATGGAACAGGTTAGAGAAGGCTGTAGGCTGCATTCTTACAACCATCTGAGCTTTGATGAAGTCTATAATTAGAAGCAATGGGGAATGGATTCTTATTCGATGAATGGTACTAGGATAACTGGTTAGCTATATTCAGAAAATTGAAATTGTACAACTTCTTTCTAACACATTAAAAAAATCACTTAAGATGGATTAAAGACCTAAATGTAAAACTTAAAACTAAAAAAAACTGTAGACAAAAGCCCAGAATATAGTATTCTGGACATAGGCAGTAGCAAAGGTTTTATGATCTAATGTCCCATGTTCTCACTTATTTCTGGGATCTAAAAATCAAAACAATTAAAAACTCATGGACATAGAAGGTGGAAGGATGATAACCAGAGGCTGGGAAGGGTAGTGAGAGAGTGAGCGGCATGTGGAAATTATTAGTGGATACAGAAAAATAGAAATAATAAAACCCTGGTGACCATAGTCAATAAAAACTTAATATGTTTGCAAATAACATAAAGAGTGTAATTGTAACGTGTGTAACTAAAGAATGATTGAGGGGATGAATACCCCATTCCCTATTATATGCTTTTTTCATATTGCATTCCCCGTATCAAAATATGTCATGTATGCCATAAATACTATGTACCCACAAAGTTAAAAATAAAATATAAAAAATAACCATCTTTCTGTGTAGTAAACAGAGTTCCAAATCCAAGGCTAGAGATGCCCATGAAACAAGATACAATCTTTTGACTTGAAGAGTTGTCTCTTTGCTCTATACATCGGTATTTGTAGAAGTTGACATTCTGGAACATTGACTTCCAACACAGCAAGAGGGATAGCCACACATATAAAGTACAAAGGCAGAGCAGGACTCACCAGTGCATTTTGTTGAAGAAGTGAGCAAGCCAAATTAAAATTATTTTTTAAACTAATTGATTTTAGCTACTGAAAGGTCTATAGGACATTATCAGAGTTTCTGTAGGATCTCTGATTTAGAATGTGAACTTGAATGTGATTGTGATCATTATGCAGTAATTGCTGTAAAAACCCAGGTTGGTGTTGGCCACATAGGACTACAACATTCAGATGGGGAGAATTAGAGTGTTTCTTTGACATGTTCCTTTAAAGGCGGCAGTAAACTTACTGCCTTTCAGTGTTCTCCTTTTTGCCATAGACTCACAGAGAGCGAGAGACACCCGGCACCTCCACATCACTTCCTTATCACTTCCTCAGCAGCCAAGATCAGCATATCACCCAGAATGAATTCTGGCTGTGGGAGAATATGGCATACACGGAGAGATGTTTGGCATTCGGTAATACCTAGGTGGGAGCTTTCTAAGCTCTTATGAAGTATATGATGCATAAGGGCCATTTCTAAATACCAGAAACATCATGCTGTGAAAGCACAGAATGTCTATAGTTAAGATGATAATGCCATGCAGAAAAATGTGGCAGCGTCTAGTGTCAGTAGTTTATGTTTCCCCTTTGTGTCACCAGCCCAATATAAAGTACTGTCAAAATTACACCTGGAGGTGCTAAAAGGAAAACAATCTGAGGAAATGTACATTTTCAGTCTCAAGTTCCAAAGATTGGTCATCAAAAAGTGTGCTTTTGTCTAGCTCAGCTGTCACCTTTACTATAATGTAGCGGTCCGTGGTGTGAGGAGTGAACACTGCAGAGTTCTGGTTGCCCTTGTGAGGTTTGCTATTATAACCTTTGTCAAAGGAAGTATGCCTGATTACAGAAATGAATATTGTTCCCTTATAATCAATATAGAATCCTGGGTCATACTTCTCTTTCACATTTAATAATGGCTTCTGCTAAATTTGTGATGTTCTGTGGGATTATATCACTTATATCTAACATCTGAAATGGGATGCAAGGCACTTTCATCAAAAAGGCTCTAGTCACGCCAGAGATGACAAATCCTGGATAAATGTATTTCACGCATCTTACTGTTCTGTAAGTGAGAGCTGTCACGGCATAATCATTTTGGTCTTCAAGGCCAAAAGAAGCTGAAAAATTCCTCGTGACTCATTGTTATTAAAATGCTCATGGAATCTCTTTAGTTTTTGAATTCTCCACAAGAAGAAAACATGATAAAAGTACTTGGTTTCAATTTTCATTGTATCACCTACTCTCATCTCAGAATATTGACTTCTTTTTCATTTCTGAAACCCAATATGCTTAAAGGTCATAAGGCAAATATTTAGCTATTTCAAATATGTTGCCTCAAACTATTTGTGTGGAGGCAGTTCACCAGGTTTTCAAAGCACCTGAATTGTGACATTTGTTTCCACGTTTTCTAGAAGCAAGTTATCATTATATGATGTTTACATGAACACAAATCTGTTCAGGTCTTCATAGTATGGAACCATACTTGTCTGTAAAGGACCCACACACTACACTCCACAGTGGTTTTCTGTAGGTGATCTTTACATATGTATTCACTCCCCTCTCCAGATTTTTGCCAATCTTTGGTGGAAAACAGCTTTTTCCTCTATCTTTCTGGCTTTGGTGGCCATGACAAATGCCATTTGCAAAAATCAGTCTAACAGCATTGGATAGATATAACAGTCATGCACTGCTCTCCAGATATCTTCATTGAGTGCTTGTTGTTATGTCATCCTTTAGCTCATCACAGAATGAAAAGAATGGATTCTGCTTGAAAATAAAATATTGAAGTCCAACATTAAAGAAGCATCCAAAAAGTTCATCACTGTTTAAAATCAATTTACACCTACTAACAACTCTAAAAAGCATCTTCTTTCTCTAACTTAAGAATTTAGTAGACAGCAACCATATTAAAATTCTTTCAAGGCACCCTGCAGTGCTTATGGAATCACACCTTTCTATCTCAACAGAATAATTTTGAATCACGTATTAAGCCTACCATGACTTGGCAAACTATAAATCTTCATTTGTATATACTTCTTTGTCATCTTGTAAAATGACATACTACCTGATTTCCTGGCAAAAACTAAGAACATTTACATTTTCATCATGCTTAATTTACAAAAGTTTTCATTTTCTTTTTTCACCCCGTGGCAAAATTTCATGACTCTAAAGCACTTAGGCTCTCATCAAATCATTTTTGTAGAAAAATAACACAAAGCAATAAGATTTTTTATATCAGTTAGCAGGGAGTAATTTATGTATCAGAACAACTGTTTAATTTGTTCTAAGTTATCTGCTGCAATGCTTTCCTAAAAACATTAGATTTGCTTTTTTATGATGTGCTAGTACGTGAACCCAGGCAAAGAAAGAAGTTTGAGACCTCATTTAACATGGGCTTATATTACTTTTCTGGGCATTGAGGAGATCATAAAAACACTGTCAAAAGTAGAAGTTAAAGTGCACTGACTGAATTTTTTAAATAACAATGAGACAAAAATGTTACAATTTAATTATTTTTGTTAAAACGAATGTTTTATAATTGTTAATATTTTCAAGAGACAGCGTCATGCTGTTGCCCAGGCTGCAGTGATGGGGTGCAGTGGCTGTTCACTGGTACCATCATTTCACAGTACCTCCTTGAACTCCTGGGCTTAAGTAATCTTTCTGCCTCAGCCTCTGGAGTAGCTGGGATTACAGTTGTGCATTACTGCACCTGGCTTTTTTGATTTTCCCCCAGTGAAAAATAGTCAAACCCTATATAACTTTCTTAGTAAGTCAAGCGTAGTTGAACTATTTTTTTCCTTACCAACTCTGTAATTGATACTCCTTGTCATTATTGGATTCGCTTTGAGATCCCCAGAAATAGACTCTTACTATGAGTGAAATCACATGAAGATGTTACCCGGGCCATCCTTGGTTGTCTTCGTGGAAGAAAGAATTTACACAAAAGACCAATTTATAAATAAAGAAAAGTTTTATTGGGAAAGTACAAATACACTCCAAGAGAGGAGGGGGCTGACCCTGCTGGAAACATCCCCATGACATTCTGCATTGTTATATTCGATTGCCTCAGTTATTTCTTTGCCCAGTTCTCACCAAAGTTCGGGGGATCCTCCCTTACTGTGCTTAATGCACATGCATGGGAAGCATTAATCAACATGAATCCTACCTAATGGTGGCACTGTATATTGCCACCACCCTGGGAAGGTATAGCAGTCAATTTTGTACTCGTTATGTCTGCTCATCTCTCAGGAATACCCCTTTGCCTTTTTTCCTTATCATGATCTAGTTAACAACATTCTGACAGTTTGAAGATGGAGTACAGAGCATCCAAATAGGTGTTCTGGGGGGTTCTTTCCAACATGGATACCTCCCTCTTGCGCCTGCTCATATCTGACTGTCCACTCCTCTTACATTCTCCCTCAAGTGGCTGGGACTGAGAAATCTTTTGGGAGATGGGGCAGACATCATTCTCTGTAGCTACTTCCTGCAGAAAAGAGCATCGAGGGTCTTCAGGGTCCCTCCTCCTTGCTTGCTGTCATGGTGAGGAGGTTTTGACGATTGTTGTCTCTTAGAAGATTTCACCCGTGCTGTCCAGAGGAGACATATAGGGACTTGGTTGTCCTGGAAGGATAGAAAGAGGTTGATATCCCCATCACAAGACCATATGAAGTCTGATGGTTTCTAGGTGGGAGGAAATAAACTGTGAAGATTCAGAGAGTAAGGTTCAAAAAGGAGAAGGAAGATAGAGGCCAGGGGTCCCAGGAAAGGGAAGAGCTATGAGAATGAAGACCACATGACACCCCAGCAGAGCCAACTCTTTATATCCCTTTACCAAAGATGAGAGGCCTGGTCTATAAGGTCTCTAATGTACTCCTGGACCTGCTCTGATCTGTTGACAGAAAAATACAAGAATTATGTTAGAAACCTGAAAACTAAAGGAGACAGATACTGTAACTAACCTTTGACAAGTAGTTCTCCATTCTGATATTTGAAGACAATCAGCTTGACGTAGGAATCCTTAAGTCTTCTCTTGGATTATGTATTCTGTTGAGACCTAAACTGTCATTAAACTTTCCATTGCAAGGTGATTCTAGGACTGGCATCATAGAATATGTGGCCAATAAACATCTGGTCTGTTCCTTCACTGGAAGTTTGGTACTAAAATCTGCTAGAATTTCCTTCTGTAAGACTGCAAAAGATAAATGCTGAGTGTTTTTTTTTCCCAAATGATGTCTAAATAATGTCTGTGCTGTTTAAAAAGTTCACCATGAATGAATGAAATATACCATAAATGATGTGTCCCTTTTCCAAGTCCATCTGCTCTGAGCTCCAGCTGGCTTGGAGCTCCAATCACTCTGAGCTCCATTTTGCTCTGAGCATCATCTGCTCGGAGCTCCATCTTTTACTCTAAGCATCACTTTTTCTGAGCTCCATCTTCTCCAAGCTCCAGCTTGCTCAGAGCTCCAATCACTCTCAGCACCATCTTGCTCTAAGCATGATCTACTCCTAATTCCAATGGCTCAGAGCAATGTTTGGTGTGCCAATCACTCTGAGCTCAATCTTGCTGTGAGCATCATCTTTTCTGAGCTCCATCTTACACCGAGCAACATCTGCTGCAAGCTCCATCTTGCTTCTTGGAAGTCCCTCTTGCTTCAAGCTCTATTTATTCCAAGCTCCACATGCTCCAAGCTCCATCTTGCTCAGAGCTCCAATCACTCCAAGCACTATCTTTCTCTGAACACCATCTGCATAGACATTTATCTTACTCGGAGCTTCATCTAGTCAGAGATCCATTTACTCTAAGCTCCATCTTGCTGGGAGTTCTAATCACTCTATGCTCCAACATGCTGGGAGCTCCAGTCACTCCCAGCTCCATTTTGCTCTGAGCACCATCTGGTCGGAGCTCATCTTACTCTGAGCAACATGTGCTCTGAGCTCCACCTTGCTTGGAGCTGTAATCACTATGGGCGCCATTTTGCTCTGAGCTCCAAACCCTAGCAACATCTCCAAACTCCATCTTGCTTAGAGCTCATTTTTGCTCAGAGCTCTATCTACTCCAAGCTGCATCTTGCTCAGAGCTCCAATTGTTCAGAGCAGTGTTCAGAGTGCCAATCACTCTGAGCTGCCTCTTACTCTAAGCACTATCTGCTCTGAGGTCCATCTTACGCCAGCAACATCTGCTCCAAGCTCCATCTTGCTTGGAGCTCCTTGTTGCTCAGAGGTCTATTTGATCTGAGCTCCATTTGGTTTGAAACTCCAATTACTCCAAGCTCCATCTTGCTCTGAGCACCATCTGACTGAAGCTCCATCTGCTCTGAGCTCCAGCTGGCTTAGAGCTCCCATCACTCTGAGCTCCATTTTGCTCTGAGCACCATCTGCTCAGAGTTTCTTCTACTTGGAGTTGCATTTGCTTCAAGCTACATCTTTCTCAGAGCTCCAATCACTCCAAACTCCATCTTGCTCTGAGCACCCTCTGCTCAGAGATTCATTTTCTCGTAGTTCCCCCTTGCTGAGATTTCTAGTCACTTCCAGCTCCATTTTGCTCTAAGCACCATCTGCTCAAAGCTTCACCTTACTACTGTGAGCACCATGTTCTCTGAGCTCCATCTTGCTCTGAGAACCATCTGCCCTGAGATCCACCTTACACCAAGCAACATCTGCTCCAAGTTCCATTTTGCTTGGAGCTCCTTTTTGTTCAGAGCTCTGTCTGCTCTGAGCTCCATCTTCCTTGGAGCTGTAATCTGAGCTCCATCTAAAACCAAGCAATGTCTATTCCAAGCTCCATCTTGCTTAGAGCTCCTTCTTTCTCAGAGATCCTTCTTGCTCAGAGGTCTGTCTTGCTCAGAGTTCCAGCTGCTCAGAGCAATATTCACAGTTCCAATCTCTCCAAGCTCCATCTTGCTCTGAGCTCCATCTTACACCAGGAAACAATTTCTGCAAGCTCCATCTTACTTGGAGGTACTTCTTGCTCAAAGCTCTATCTCTTCCTAGCTCCAACCTGCTCAGAGCTCCAATCACTCTGAGCTCTATCTTGCTTTCAGCACCATCTGCACAGAGCTTAATTTTTCTCGGAGTTCTGATCATTCTGAGGTTCATCTTGCTCTGAGCACCATCTATTTGGAGCTCCAGATTGCTCTGATTACCATCTGCTTGGAAGCAATTTCTGTGAGCTCCATCTGTTCTGAGCTCTAATCACTCTAAGCTCCATCTTGCTGTGAGTACTATACGCTCAGATCTCCATTTTGCTCTGAGCACCGTCTACTGTGAGCTTCATCTTGCTCAGAGCTCCATCTACTCTGAGTTCCATCTTGTTCTGGGCACGATTTGCTCGGAGCTGCATCTTGCTCTGAGCACCATCTGCTCTAAACCCCATCTGCTCAGAGTTCCATTTGCTCCATGCACCATCTTGTTCTGGGCACAATTTGCTCGGAGCTGCATCTTGCACTGATCACCATCCGCCTGGAGCTCCATCTCACTGTAAACAACGTCTTCTCTGAGCTCTATCTTGCTCCGAGCACCATCTGTTTGGAGCTCCATCTTGCTAGGAACTCCAACCACTTCAAACTCCATTTTTGGTCTGAGCACCATCTACTCAAGAGTTCCATCTTGCTCTAAGCACCATCTGCTCAGAGCTCCATCTCACTGTGAACAACATCTTATCTGAGATCCATTTTGCTCTGAGTGCCATTTGCTTGGAATTCCTTCTTACTCTGAACAACATCTGCTCCGAGTTCCATGTTGCTCAAAGCTCCCTCAGCTCCAAGGTCCATCTTGCTTGGAGCTGTAATCACTCTGAGCTCCATCCTGCTGTAAGGACCATTTGCTCTGAGCTCCACCTAAAACCAACATCTGCACGAAGCTCCATCTTGCTTACATCTTCTTATTGATCAGAGCTCCGTCTGCTCTGAGCACCATCTTGTTGAGAGCTCCATTTTGCTCCTCACTCAATCTTACACAGAGGAACATCAGCTCCAAGTTCAATCTTGCATGAAACTGCCTCTTTTCTGAGCTTAATCTGCTTGGAGCTCCATCTGCTCTGAGCTCCTATCACTCCAAGCTCCATCTAGCTCTGAGCTCTATCTTACACAGAGGAACATCAGCTCCAAGCTCAATCTTGCTTGGACATCCTTCTTGTCTGAGCTTGATCTGCTCAGAGCTTAACCTGCTCAGAGCTCCACCTGGTCTGAGCTCCATCTTGCTCAGAACTCCACCTGCTTTGAGCTCCTTCTTGCTCAGAACTCCATCTGCTGAGTTCTATCTTGCGCTGAGCTCCTATCACTCCAAGCTCCATTTCACTCTGAGAACCATCTGCTCTGAGCTCCATCTGCTTTGAGCTCCATCTGCTCAGAGCTCCATCTGTTCTGAGCTTTATCTTGCTCAGAGCTCCATCTGTTCAGAGCTCCATTGGCTCTGAGCTCTATCTTGCTCAAAACTCCATCTTGCTCAGAGCTCCATCTGCTCTGAGCTCCATCTTGCTCA